TATATATATATATATAATATTAAATCATTAGTTAGAGTGATACGAATTATTTCAGTGAGTTGCAAAGAATGGTGTGACAGTCAAATAGGTGAACTCTATTGTAAATTTAAATATTATTGGATATTAAATAATTAGTTCCAGTGATATGAATTACTTCAGTGAGTTGCAAAGGGATAGAACATTTGCAATGGCACCTGGGAAGAAGGGCCACCACTGTCGTGATGATGCAGATAAGGTAGAAAATGGGGTCTGTCAGTTGATTCTGGAGCGTCCAGTATGAGTTGCAGGTAACACAGGAAGTGTATAACAGCGTCAGGATCAAGGACACAGCAAAACTGCCCAGCATGATGATCCAGTGAACCACAGTCTGGAAACCACAAAAAAGTAACAATAACACTGCAGTTCCATCATTTCAGTTCCATCATTCCATCATGACAGTAGAACCCCCCAAAGTCAAACAGCCCAAAAGTGTTGCAGTTAGGATAATGCTCACTGGCAAAATGAGACAAAAGGACCAGTCCTAATTCCTGACATTGTTCTGTTTTTTTGTGGTGTGTGTCCATGGCCCTGCAAAAGTTTAAAATGTTAAACCCTCATAATGTGTGATGTCACGTGAAACTTCAGTAAACCTCACGAGAGCTGTACTGAAATACCAATGTTTTTTTTTAATGCCACCAAAGAATAGTACCAGTGATGACAAAAAAGAAAAGTGTGAGAATATCAATAGGAACACCTAATAGAAATGTATCTACTGATCAGTGAAATTAAATACAATTTACATGCAGCAAATAACGCAAATATAAATTAATGAATTAAAGTTATCACAACATTATTATTTGTTGGAAGTGTCACAAAGTTTCTAAAAAAATATGGCCTGTAGTTTTCTGATGGCAAGAGTTTGAGCCTGGAACACATTGATTCACATCACATTTTGTTTTCTACATTTCTATAATAGTTTTGAAATCCAAACAACTTGAAATGTATCCAGTGTCATGAGTTTTTTGTTGTTTGGTGCTCACCCAAGCTTTGATCTCTATTGACAGATGCAGCAGGATGGTAATTAAAGAAACTGCGTTCAAAGGCATTCCAAATGTGAAAACATCGACGTCCAAATCTTGGTAAACCTACAGAAAAATGAAACGTGGTGTTGTCAGATTGTAGAATGATGGTAGACTCCACAGCCGAATATTCTCTTACCAAATATGGAATGAAGAAGCAAATGAGACTCTGGTAGAAGGCATCAAGCATGGAAACCCAGAAGGTACAAAAACTGTATTCCTAAAATAATGATGCACAAAATTACTAACAAATTACTGGTGTTCGTATTTTTGCAAATGCCATTTTATAAAGAAAGTCAATTTTCTTTTGACTAATTCGAGATCAGTCCTATCCTGTTTGCCTTTGGCTGCAAGTTGCTGCAGTAAGCTCCAGCTCTGGAAAACAATAATCTAAAATTTAAAAAATAAATAAAATGAATGGATAGATAGATTTTTACTCACCCCTGCACCTTGTCCAGTCCTATAGAGTTCAGGAACACCGAGCAGCACTTCTGCCGAAACATCTTTGTCCATGATCCCAAACATAATGGGGGGTGCGGAGGTGTAAAAGAGGTTGAAGAAAATCAGCAGCCAGTAGTCCAGCATGGTGGTCGCTGTGAAGCCACAATAGAACTGGTACCAGAAGAGCAGGTTGACATTGGCCTAGAGGGAGCAATGACATGACACATAAGTTGCTTCGATGACAGAGGACAGGCAGAGGAGACATGCACCGCAGCTCAGCTCTTATAGACCCACCAAATTCTTATAGAAGAAGTAAATGATCATATTGGCCAGGCGAGTGTAGCACCAGTGTCCGTGAACCAGTAGGAGTTTTTTAAGGTGTTTGAAGCGAGATATTGCAAAGTCACTTGCCATGACTGCCTGCAAACAACAAGGCCAAATTACAAATTGGTCAATTTTTTTCATCCAAAACATAATATGAGGAAAGTTAGACAGTTCAAATTACGGTATGTATTTATTATGTCATGCCAACTGCAATAATCCACGTAGGGACAGATAGCATTGCAAACATTAAGTCATTTTTCACTCAAGTTCTTGCATTTTAGGTAAAGGCCTTAATTCTCACCTGCATTCCCTCCTGACCGGAAATCCCGATTCCGATATCTGCTGCTTGGATCATGTTAACATCATTTGCACCATCACCTGCGGTCACATGTTGCATGCCGTCAGTTAAAGAGCAGTTGCGAGAGGTAAACAACATCTTAACAATCACTGACTGTACGCAGGAATAGCTGTTATGATTGTATTATCGTCAACCTTTTGTGTTGTGTTCTGTTGTGTTATTGTTATTTTATGTTCTGTAAAGCGCTTTGTTACAGTTGCAGCTGTTGTGAAAGCGGTATATGAATAAAGATGCATTCTATTGTTTTATATTTCAAAAATGCATTTTATTTTCATTGTCAAGCAATGAACAAAGTTCCAATTTGCTGACTCACCCCTCTTATTCATTCATTTATACTGATAAATTATAATCATCATCATCATCATCATAATCCATTCATTCATTCATCTTCCGAACCGCTTGATCCTCACTAGGGTCGCGGGGGGTGCTGGAGCCCATCCCAGCTGTCTTCGGGCAGTAGGCGGGGGACACCCTGAAACGGTTGCCAGCCAATCGCAGGGCACACAGAGACGAACAACCATCCACGCTCACATTCACACCTAGGGACAATCCAGAGTGTCCAATCAGCCTACCATGCATGTTTTTGGAATGTGGGAGGAAACCGGAGTACCCGGAGAAAACCCACGCAGGCCCGGGGAGAACATGCAAACTCCACACAGGGAGGCCGGAGCTGGAATTGAACCCGGTACCTCCGCACTGTGAAGTCGACGTGCTAACCACCGGACTACCGGGCCGCCCTCATCATCATAATATTCATGATAATTGAGTCGGTCTCCTGTTTGCAGACAGAACAACTTCCCTCTTCATCACATGACGAGGGAAAGTCAATTTGTCTCGATGAACGTGGGAGATTAGAGGCCGCTGATGTCATACCAACGTTGTCTTCATTGTAGTCTCTATTGCAGTTTCTTCCAAAGCTGTTTGAGGGGATTTCCAGTGAAGCTTCAGAATGAACCTGGTGAACTACATTTGAACTTTTCTACAGTTTTGAATGCATGTCCAACTGTTCAAAGTTGCATGACTTTTTGCACAACCTGCCTATGGCAAAATTCACAGCAGGTTTTTGAACCATGAATTTCCTGGTTCGGTTCGAATTGGTACTAAAACAATCCTCTCGTCTCCATCATAGCGTTCACATTTGAACATTATGTGGTTGTTGAACTGTTGAAAGGCTTCAAACAAGATGTCGTCAGAGGGAAATGACCACTGATCTTATAGCAGGGGTCCCGAACTGGAGGATTGTGATCAGGATCCTGCAGAGCTTACTGATGAGCTGATCATTTGAATCAGGTGTGTTGCAAGAGGGAGAGATGGATAACATGCAGGAAAGCGGCCCTCAAGGACCGGAGTTTGAAACCCCTGGCTGAGTGTGTCACGGTGTTAATAGAATGTTATAACAGAGCTATAAAGTGACTGGAAGAGTCACAGAAAGCTGTTGTGAATTTTGCTACTCAGCTCCCGGTTACAGAACAGCAAGTTGTAAAAACTGTATTGAAATATTGAACAGGTGGGCATGTGCATCCAAACGTTTGGAGAAAGTCAAAGTCAAGTTCACCTGTAAAAGTTCTTGTGCATTTTAAGTTTGTGCTGAAACCAACAAATCGAATATCATTAACTTTTTGTGAGTAGTGGAATCGTTCAAAATATTTTGGTGAAGTGTGGAATTAAAAGTCAGGATGACTTAAGGTTTATGCCAACCCCTGATCAAATAATTATAGAAATTAAAGAGATGCATTCCAATACTTCCAAATGCTTATCTGTATTATATGTTAGAAAAAAAAACATTGTGGTACACTAAAAAGCTATTTCAGGAAACTATATCCCTCCTGCTCAATGACTTTGGTTGTCCTTTGCACACATAACCCTGTAGTAATCAATTAATTGGTCTATAATTACTCTGTTGTTTTCCTGCCTGAGAAAGGATAACCGGCTCATTTATTAAATGAATGCCAATATACAGCTTCACGCAACAAGCCCAAACAACTGTGAAAATGCTCCTTTTGACTTACCGACAGCAAGAGTCATGACCCTGAGCTTCTCTCTGATGAGCTTCACCACGCCGCTTTTCTGCAAGGGCGTGACCCGGCAGCAGAGCACGGAGCGGCATCGCTTTGCCAGCTCCACAAAGCGGCCCTGCAGATCCTTGGACAGAAGCATGGCCAGGGTGCGTCCATCGATCACCAGAGAGATGTCTGGGGTGGTGTCCACGTTACGAGGGTCGTTTTCATACCTCCTCACCTCCTCCAGGGTGGAGTCCAGGATGGAAGTGCATGCGAGCTAAATAAATACCGGTAGTTAACATTATTTAGCATGCAGTCGGTCGACCCCCCCCCCCAAAAAAAAAAAATGATGATACAAAGTGGGCCACATTTATCCTGTTTTGTTTCCATCATTCCAATACAGTCCAAATGTCATATTAAGTGTGAGGTGATGATTGGTGGGGTGCATCCCTGGGGTGGTCACTGCTGGTAAAAATAGTTGAACCAATAAAGCTCCACTCTAGATCACGGGAGGAGGGATATTTCCTGTGAGGGTTCAATATTAGGCTACTAATTAGATATGAAAGGCTTAGTTATTGTATTGGCGAGAACTCACTCCATCTATCTTCCATGACAAGTCCCAATGTGATATCCAGAATGCTCCCTCTGTATCACCTCCAAATGAAAAACTATTTGAGACGTGTGGTGATCGTTCTTGGAAAGCTCGTTATGAAAGGCTTCGGACCTTTGCTGCATCACCTGACACCAGCACCTTTCTCAGCCGGATTTGACCTTTCGTTATATTATAAAAGTGTTCAAATGGTTAGATGACTTTTAAAAAATCGGGGAAAGTCAGTGTCAAGATTTTAAGCCTAATTAATCGGCCATCACAAAAAAAATTCAATCCTGTCATCTGAAATAGGCCGCGAGAGAAGTTTCTTCATGTACTGAATTGTTTTGACATTCACATCCGCATTTGTGGTAGTCATTCTAATGCATGTAAAGGTGTCACATATACTGCAGCTCTCATTGCATGTATATATATTAAAAAAAACATTGACTGAAAGCCTCTCACATATTGTTCACATATCTGTGGAATTCTGTGTGAGTGAGCACTTCTCCTTTGCGGAGATAATCCATCCATCTCACAGGTGTGGCAATTCAAGATGCTGATTAGACAGCGTAATTATCACATAGGGGTGCTTGGGTTTTTTGTTTTTTTTTGTATTTGTTGTCTGTTGCTTCTGGGCCCTGTTGGCATTGCAAATGAGAATCTGCTCTCAATTGCCTTACCTGGAGAAATCAATTTTCAAAAAATATCAAGAATAGATTTAGACAGATTTGTGACAAGATTTTTTAGAATAGTCATAGGAACTTTGAGTTTGAGAAGAAAAAAAGTGTGGGGTTCACATTCATATTTTGTTATGTTCATGTAGAAAGTACAGTACGTAGTATATTACAAAACACCGATATTAATGCGCTGCGTGGTGAGTTAGTGGTTTCAAAGTCTTCCGCAGAGTTCTTTTGGAGTTTGATTCTTGGCTGGAGCCTTCCTATGTTGAGTTTGCATTCAGGCTTGATCAAAATTGATTTTTTTTTAGCCAATGGAGATTCCGATATTTGACAGAATAACATTTTGATGTTATTCTGTCAAATGGCTGTGTGCAACCACTTATTTCAAGCCATGGGTTGCAAGTGGGGCTCCGCGCTCTCATCCTCTTAGCTGCCTTAGCTTGGACATAGCTAGAAGTCAAGTGGCTCCTCACCTTGTTTTTGCAGCTCATGTTAATCACCAGGTCTTCATCTTCCAGCAGTCTGCAGGCATAGCCGATGTTGACAGCCGTTTCCGGCTTATCGCCAGTCAACACCCACACTTTGATCCCCGCTTCGCGCAGTGTCAGGATGGTGTCGGGAACGCTCTCCTGCAGACGGTCCTCAATGCCCGTGGCCCCTGCAGGAGGACGTGTGATTTACAGACAGATGTATGTTTTACAGGCGCGTGGATAGATGGGTTGTTACCCAGCAGGGTGAGCTTTGTCTCCAGCTGCACAGCGGTGTCCATAATGAGCTGCTCTCTGCCGTCAATGGCGGCCTTCGCGCTCTGTCTGCTCATGGACCAGATGTCATAATCTTTAGCGCTCACAACCTGCGGCACACACATCAAAAACAAGGAGCTGTAGCAAATGCAGGACACAAAACATGCTCGTTTTTGTTCATATTCTTCACCGTGTACCTTCTTTGTAAAGCAAAGCGTGCGCAGCCCTTCTTTAGCATAGCAGTCGAGGTGATACTGAGTGTCTGCCACGACATTCTTCTGATTTCCACTGAGATGCTCTAGAAATATGGAAACAGAATACAATATTCATCTGGTTTTATTTTGGCTATTGATTCTTCAGTCCGCACAAAGTGGCCTCACCAGCATACGGTGCACCAAGCAGCTCCATGATCGAGTAGTCTGCACCTTTAGTGTACAGCACACACTCTTTGGTGATGGGATGTCGCACCAGCACGGACATTCTCTTCCTGTTGGAGTCAAAGGTCAGAATGTCGAGCACCTCAAACACCAGGACCCGACCCGATGGCATCCTCACTGTCACGCTGTCGGGGGTCCGGCTCAGCAGAATAAAACCGTACGCTTTGGCGGCATACACCAATGCTGCCTCGTCGGGACTCTCTGCCTCATAACACAACCCGCTGGACTCATCACGCTGACTATGTGATGGGAAGACTCCTGAGTCATCCACTTGTGGGAAGGGGTTAAAGCGGTCGTCCTCTTTAAAAGAAGTGTCTGAGAAGGTTCGGTCCCTTTTGGGTGCAAATATGTTGCGAAGAGAGCCTGCTTTCTTCAAGAGGTTGGAGAAATTATCCAATGGATTTGTTGACTGAAAGGAGCATGGATAGTCATGAGTCTGAAAGAAAATGAGACAGTTGTTGATCAGGTGCTATTTTTCATCGGCTGTCTGCTGATGGCAGCCGCCAGCTCTCCTCTCCATCTTAAATAACACAGCAGTGCTAAAGCTGATTTCTCCCATTTGAATGGCTTCTATAAATAACAAAATGAATAGAAGTAACCTGGCCTGCCCTGTATATTTCACCTTTAATAGCGAGCTCATTTAGAAAAGGCTTAGCATCTTTGCAACTAGCAAAGACAAATAAGCAATTTAGCACTGACCACAGATCCGAGTGGAGAGTTGAAACAACTGGAAAATTCATTCCATTCTGAAAGAAGCAATTAAATCTGACTTAAACCTGCAAGATGGTCAAACATATAGAAAGAGGGCAAACACCAAATACCTAAAGTCATTTAAAAAATGAGCACACGATATACCGAGTAAATTGAATTTGAATTTCGTTTCCAGGGGATTGAAGAAAATTTCATCCCATTATTTAAAGGAATGGGATGATTCCCCATCATTCTGAATTAAACAATATTATCATTTGTTTGTTTATTTTATATTTTTTTTGGGTTCTTTATAAGAGGGTAAATATAAAAAAGAGAGAGGACATCTCATGTCATATGTCCCATGTGGGCTGCAGACACTTGATGTATGGCACAAAAATAAATGTTGATTTCTATTAAAGGAACAAATCCCTCTGTCATCCTTTCTCTCTTCCATCTTTATTTCCCATCCACAATGACAGTAAACAGAACACTCACCCTCCGTCTCTGAGCTGTTCCCATGGAAACCACCACCGTATTGCAAATGGCAAGAGCCAGAAAAAAGTCGAAGTGTGGATCCATCTTCTGGCTACTGATACTCGTACTCTCTGCAACGCTGACCCTCCGGAGCAGCTTCCTGTCTGGAATCACCTCCGTTTCCTGTGCAGATGAATTGGTTCGGTCGATTACTTTAGAGCTGGTAAAGATTTAAAAAGCTGTTTACTTTCACTTATTTAGAACAGGGGACAAGACTATACTGTATTTGATTATTCAACATCTTTGGATGGATGGATGGATGGATGGATGGATGGATGGATGGATGGATAGATAGATAGATAGATAGATAGATAGATAGATAGATAGATAGATAGATAGATAGATAGATAGATAGATAGATAGATAGATAGATAGATAGATAGATAGATAGATAGATGTTTCAGTCTGAGCTCATTGGAGTCTTTCCACGGTGATGTTCTTTTGGCCTTTTCCCTCCATAGACAACTACAGACACTAAATTACTCGACCGTACATTATAATGAATCTATAGTGTGTGTTTTCCATTTATGTGACATCAGTGGTCTGAGCCAAATGGCGCCCAGCAGGACCATATGCCCAGTCATGGACACTTGGTCAACTTTGAGCCAAGGTAAATGTGCTCATCACTGATGCCTTGCGGGTTGACCATCTGCAATGGCCGCTGGGTCCAAAGGAGGAGTGAATTTAAAAAATATATAATAATAATGCAAATTTGAGCTTTGTAATGATTTTATGTACCGGTATGTATGACGCGTTCAACAAACACATTATTCTTATTTGGAGAGATGCAGTGAATAAAAATAATAATAATAATAAAAAAAAATCAGTTTGAGCTTTCAAATGATTTTTTTGTATTGTTTTTTTTTGTGTGAGTGTGTGTTCAACAAACACACTATTCCTATTTGGAGAGATACAGTGTTGTGTAAACATTTCAAAGCAACACTAGCTTCCTTTTTATTTTTGTTTTAATTTCCCCCGTATCTATTTAGACACAGTAAAACAGTAAGGAGTATAAAACACTTTGTATGAAAGTGCAAACAATATAGTACATATGTTCGCATAAAATTTGTTGAGGGGCGGCTCAAGAGCCAAGGAAGAATCCATTACATTACAATGAGGATCTGGATACAGGTGCGGATATAGAAAATGTCTTTTCATGCTGACATCAATGGAATCTTCCATTCCACAAAATTATAAACATTCGTCCATTTGTCATCCTCCATGCACAAGGAAGTAACCTGTGATCTAACAAACATGAACAAAGAAAATCTATTTGTCATTTTGCTTTTGTCAACAGTTCATTCCTCGTGCAGGTATGTGCACTGGTACAAGACATTCTACGTCCATTTGCTAATAATAGCATTGTTAAAACAACACGTCTAACGGTGACGAGGCTTTTCCACAGAATGTTTGTATTGTTACCAGCTATCTCGCTGGTGTCAAACATACGGCCCGCGGGCCAGAACCGGCCCGCAAGGAGGTTCGATCAGGCCCGCAGAATAATTTAAAAGTGAAAAAAATGCATAAAAGACACGGAATGAATATTTTTAAGAAGGTGCAATTGATGGAGTATCCGTTAGGGGGACACACTGTTTTGATCAGAGTAAAAGACAACATTGTTTTGATCAGAGAAGAAGACAATCGCAGTCTTAGTCTGTCACTGAGACAGACCCAACACAGCAGACGCTATCAAGCATAAGTGAATACTTTATTCTTTACACATTTAATCCATGGTAGCGGATGGCACTCTCCTTAGTTTGTAAAGTGAAGGTGGGGATTAAATTTAGATTTTTTTTTATGCACATGTTTAAATGGTTTTAAAATTCCTTTCTTTATAAATGTCGTTTTATCTTCAAGTGCATTACTATATTTTTCAATTCCAATTACTTGTTAAAGTTTTGTGCCTTTGTACAATCAGTTGGATCAGGTGCAATGCATGTATGTGAATGATAAAAGTAAATTGCACATTGGTCTAAGGAAACCTAAGGAGCTTCATGAAATGTTTTGTAAAATGTCTGTTTATTAAATTTCAACATTTTCCTAATGTTCTTGTGCTTCTTTAGACCAAAACAAAGGAAAGACATTATTTTGGTTATTTATAGCAGAGTATGGTATAATTTTAATGGTCCAGCCCTCTTCACATCTACCGAGGCCGTATGTGGCCCACAATGTGAAATGAGTTTGACACCCCTGAGCTATCTATTTAAACAGTACTGTCTTTTATGTAGGACTCACTTGTGTTTAGATTATTGTTTTTACACATCATCATCACTACTATATTGAACAATATTATTCATAGGGCAGCATGGTGAAATAGTGGTTGACCTTCAGTGACTTACTGAGACCCTCAAGCTCAGTCAAGACAATAGCTCATGATTTCCTCTTTTATTTGGCTGCCTCTTAGTATCAGACCAAGTAAGTCCACAAGGCCCATGCAGTGGCTCCCTCCAGCATCTCTAGACTCAAATCTTGACTGAGCACTCATCCTACCAGTAGACTGCTGAAGGCCACATTGCTCTGGGCGTTTGCCGCAAACTTGTTCTTGCGTCTGCTTTCATGGCGCCGTTGTGTGCCTTCAGGGTCGCTGTCCTCAGAATCCAGAGACCATCCATGCTGTGAGGGTAGTGGCTCCTGGTTATAGATGACCTCCTCTTCGGATTCTGGCTCATCCATAACAGCCAAGCGGATGGCTGGAAACCGCCCCCAACAAAACAAATGTTATACTATTACAAATAGCATTAGTATAAGGAAACAAGTTAACCTAAGATTGGATCCAAACAATCCAAAACAATTATTCACTGGAAAGTGCAGTTCCTAAACAAAAACCAAAATCCAAAGAGGCCTCCTGTCTCACAAGTTGCTCACCGCGATATGTGACAAGGAGTTTGCACTGTTAACGTGGTTACCAGGTAAGCTATCAGTTGGCCTACCTTCTTCTGTAATTCTTTTACTATTTCTTACTACTAGTCTTTTTCAGCAGTCTGGAGACTGTCGCAATATGCTCCCTCTCACAGGTCAGTCTTGGTTCTAAGATAAGGCCCCAAGCAGGAGACCTTTTTGCGATTGTCGGTGGAGATATTGTTTTGTGTTTGGGATTCTGTGTTGCTCAGTAGAGGAGCGGGAAGAATGCACCTGCATTTTTTTTCCCCCTCATTTTGTGTGGGGACTCTCAAAATGTTAAAAATCGGTACCTCCTTCTTTAGACAATTTTAGAGCAAACTTTTTTGTGTTCACAATGAATTCTCACTCTGTTCACTATCTTTCTAAAGAACATTTTTGGTCTTGGTTTCAAAACAACACCTTCTAGCATGTCCACATTCCATTGTGGTGAACAATTGTTTGTAAAAGTTAAACAATGAAAAAGAAACAATTGGGTGACTATCGCTTTGGACTTATCGAGCGGGTCGTGCTTGAAGGCAACTTTCCCAATGTGTGTACGAAATGCAAATACGAATTGCAGTATTATGCAAAAGTATAATACATACAGTAATCCGACATAGTTTATCTTCTGTAAAAGGCTTGCTAAGATTTACCGTTTTCCTTGTGCGGGTACTCCGTGCCCATGACGGAGCAACGTCGAAAAACCATCTTGTTCTCAGTGAGCGTGCCTGTCTTGTCAGAGAAGATGTATTCAATCTGTCCCAGGTCCTCTGTAATGTTCAGAGCTTTACACTGTATTCGGCTGTCTGTCTCCTCATCATAAAGGTCTATGTCATGCGTGATGAAGAAGATCTGGCCAATCTTCACCAGCTCAATGGAAACATAGAGGGAGATTGGGATCAGGACCTGGAAGAGGGTAAAACAAAACATTAAAATCCTGTCTCGTCATGAGTGTTTAGCGACAAATAAAGAGGTGAAGTCTTGTTTCAACCTGCAGCAGGATAATCATGCTGAAGAACATGTAGAAGCTGGACAGACTGGGACTGACCACATGACCGTTGCTATCAGGCACCAGGTAAGGGGGCACGCCAGGTAGTGCCTGCCGCCAAAAAAAGTGACCTAAATGTGTCAAGACAGGAAGCTTAATCACATCGACTGGCACAAAGAGGGAGGCTATTTTTGGCGCATTCCCCCCTCCCCCCACCCCGACCCCCAACTCGTCATTCAGCAAAACGGGCTGGGGGCCAAAGTGACTGATCAACTGGCGAGTGCAATTGAAATGCCCCCTCTGAGGTTTAAAAGCTTTTCAACATAAAATAGTATGCTTAATGATTTCATGGTTTGGTTATGTAATTCAACAATGACCTAGTGCTCCGACGAGACACATGGCAAGGAGGAGAATGACGCAAAAGATGACGTCCACGTTCAGTTTCCGCTCCAATTTGCTGCGCTTGTATCTTGGCCCGTTGTTGTTCAGCATTGACTTTGTTTCATGGCCTTCAAGATGGGAAGAGAAGACGTTAGCATTCACTTAGCAAAATCACACATTCAATATGCCCCTAATTGGGCCAAACACTGGATGAAAATTACTTCATCCTTGAGAAAGTCTTTAGCAGCAACACAACAGTCACAGATCTTATTTGGGTTCTTGTTTGTGCTATTAAATCAACTGAATATCTCTCTCTCTCTCTCTCTCTCTCTCTCTCTCTCTCTCTCTCTCTCTCTCTCTATATATATATATATATATATATATATGTGTGTGACGGAACA